AATTCCCAGCAACCATATGGTGGCTCACAAACCATCTATAATGGAATCTGATGCCCTCTTCTGGTGTGTCTGAAGGGAGCAACAGTGACTCACATACAAAAAATAAACTTTTAAAAAAGAAGAAGGAGGCATGAGACACCATGCCCAGCGTCGTCTTGAGCTTATCCTCCCGCCTCAAGTTCCCCAATGCTGAGATCATAGGCTTGTGGTACTGAGGTGTCATAGCATGCAGGGAAATGAACCTAGTGAAGAGGTGAGAATGAAAACTCAGCTCAGTTTGACTTACATAAACTGGATCAAACAAGATTCTAGAGTGTCTAATGCCAGGTAGTTTACTGCCAGCATATTTAAACACAGGAGAATCTGGGGAAATGTTTCCAGGTAACAGTCATTCCAGTTCTAGGGGCACAATAAGCTTACGGTGTGGGTACACAGAAACTCATGTGCAAAGTACATGTGACCTTGAAGATGGGTTTTGTAGCTTAAGAGTATAGAATCTGGCGTGGTCTCTGACCAGGATATCATAGCAGTCGGCAGGTTGTAATGTATATGTGACATCTCTCCCAAGGATGGGTTCTACCAACTGAGAGCTAAAGATAAAGGTGTAGGGAAGAAGAGTCTCAGGGATTTGGGTGAGATCTGCCTCTACAGGTAGCAAAATGTCACCAGGTTGTTAACAATATGTACTCCTAACTTTCTGGATGGAATGCAGGTATTTTCTTTTCTCCATTGAAGAGACACCCCTGTGTGACTAATATTCCTGGTTTCCCTAGTAATCTATGGGCACCCTCAATACACCACCATTCCTACTTTATGTGCTGCTGGGCACTGAACCTAGAACTATGCCAGGCAGACATTTTACCTACTGAGCCACATTCCCGGCTTTGTTTTGTTAAAAGTTTTGTTTAGCTTGGAACAGACAACACCAGACCAAATGGCTCTAAAGGGGAGGGGGTTTACTCAGGGCAGAGGGCAAAGGTAGGGAGAGAAACGGGAGAAGATGATGGAGAAAGAGGAGAGAGAGGGGAGAGAGAAGTGGAGGCTGGCCATGACTATGTGGAGAGAGGGGGAAGGGAAGGGAGGAAGGGCGAGGAGAAGCTAGAGGCAAGAGAGTAAGAGAGTAAGAGAGAGAGGAGGAGGCAAGCAGCCCCTTTTAGAGTGGGCACACCTACCTGGCTGTTGCCAGGTAACTGTGGGGAGGAGCATACCTGGCTGTTGTCAGATAACTGTGGAGGTGGAGTTTAGACAGAATACTAACAGACATAGCTGAACATCTGCCCTTTCTCGCTTGGAGTCTTGGGGTTCCAGGCTCATGCCCATCCAAGAACCAAGATACCCTTATGCAGTCCCACAAACAACAACAAAGCAGATTGAGCTGGGGTTGTAGCTCAATGCTAAATCACATTTGTAGCATGTATAAGTGCTAAATTAAATTCCTAGCTTTGAAACAAATCATTGGTAATAACACCTCCCCCCCAAGAAGACTACTCTGTGCTTAATTCTTTCCCTAGACTGACACTCGTAAGCAGGCAGAGCTTTGCAGCCTTTGCACCGAACTCCCTGAAGAAGCTCTGCACAGTTGTGAGAGTTTATGCATATAAATGATTTTCAGGATCATAGAAAAGGTTGCTTTTCCTGAAACGGACTGAGGGAAACCTTAGTCCACACTGGCTTGATAGTCTGACACAGTAATCTTTCTTTCTTGATGACAAAACACAATTTCATCTTGTCTCCATGGAGCACATGGAGAAAGATCTCCCAGAAAGATTTCTGAAGAAAATACTCCTTTTGCTATTAAAAGGGACAGGGCCCATTCAGATGGCTTGGTGGATAAAGGCACCTGCTGTGAACCCTGACAACCTGAGCTCAATCCCTGAATCCACATGAAAGTCAGAGGTGAGAACTGATTTTACAAAGCAGATCCCTGACCTCCACACAGCACCATGGTGTGTGTGGTCTCCACGAGCTACTAATAACACATCTTTTAAAAGATTCACTTCGGCCGGGCGGTGGTGGTGCACGCCTTTAATCCCAGCATTTGGGAGGCAGAGGCAGACGGATTTCTGAGTTCGAGGCCAGCCTGGTCTACAGAGTGAGTTCCAGGACAGCCAGGGCTACACAGAGAAACCCTGTCTCGAAAAACCAAAAAACAAAAAAGCAAAAAAACAAAAAACAAAAAAAATTCACTTCAATTCCCAGCAACCACATGGTGGCTCACAACCATCTGTAATGGGATACGATGCCCTCTTCTGGTGTGTCTGAAGACAGCTACAGTGTACTCATATAAATAAAATAAATACATCTTTAAAAAAAAGATGTATTTATTTTATGTGTATTGAGTGTTTTGCCTGTGCATATGTATTTACACCATGTGTATGTCCAGTACCCAGGAGATCAGGAATGGCAGGATCCCATCAAACTGGAGTGGTTGGGAGCCACCATGTGTGTCCTTCATCAAAGCAATTTTCTAGCCCCAATAATACATTAAAAGAGGGGAATTAAGGCGCTTACAATTAGGTGTGATATTGTACTCATGTGTAATCCCAGCACTTTGAAGGCAGCTAGGGCTTCATAGGAAACCCTGGTCCAAAAAACAAAACAAAAACAAAAACCAACCAAACAAAAACAAACAAAAAACCTTGCAGGACTGGGGATGTAGCTCAGTGCTGGAGCATGGGCCAGGCACAGATAAGTCCTGATCCATAGCATTGCTAACTAACTAACTCCTTAAGGTGGGACACCAACAAGAAAACAGAGCTCTTGGAGCAAGTGTTGTCCTGACTGGGAGTGAGGGTTGAGATGGTAGAACCCTGTTTCTGACTTCTCCATTACTCTGAATAAAATCAAAATCCTAATGAAGTTACAACAGGGAAAATCACACAGAAGCCGCTCCAGAGACTGGCTCTTCCATCTGCCGAGCAGGCTTTCCCCCCACTGCATGTCCTGGGAAGCGACAAACCCTCTTATTGCTTTTGAAAGGGAGTTTATAGCTTCAGCCACAAGTGTACTGGCTTCCCCATGGCTGCTGCTGAGGAGTAATCCTCCACAGACCCTGAGTCGCTGCTTCAGGTACAGATCCGGCTGTTGTAGGGGTTAGAGCTGACCTCAGTCCTCACTGCTTTTCGAGTAGGTGTGGTGCTAGGAGTTGACTGGGAGGACCTGGACGGTGCAGGGGCTTAATCATAAATGATCTTCTGTGACTTTTCCTGTGGAGATGTGAACTAATGTCTGTCCACCTTAAATAACATGCTCCAAGAGATCGGAGACAATTCTACCAAGTCCACTCACAGGCCTACAGATTTGGTCTTTTAATGTGTCATGCATGCCTTGAAACCCCCACTGGTACTTTATTATTTCATCCTAATAGGACGGTGGGAGAAGGAAGAGGGGGGAAAGGGGG